AGCTCTTGGAGATATCAGGTTGTTGAAAATAAGAAAGCAACAATATAAATATGACATTGCTGAGACTCAATGAGCGAATGTAATCGAAACATGCGATACGATTCTGAATTTGCAGAGAAATTGTTTATTCACCATGTGCAAACGAATCGATCTGGCATTTGGCTCACTACAGTAATAGTGGTGGTAGTTTCGCGTTGAGGGCACCGATATGGGCCCGACGGCTATCGGTCGTAAGTCGAAAGCCACTATCGGTGATCGATGTCAGTGTGCAGCCGTGTAATTCCTACAATCACACATTGCATGCGAGCAGGTCAGACAATTTTCATCGATTCCAATCCATCATAAACCTCCAGCATTGATAATCCTAGTGTGATCTCTGCTGGATTGTTAAGATCTTTCTTTTTTCACCCTGCGATCGGATTCGTTCATTCCTAAACAATTATATTACGGTCACATCAAGGATATACTCGTTTTCTCAGTATTCTGAAAGATCCCTTTGTTCGAATGCTTAGTTAAGTGCATGACCATTTCAGTTTATTGTTAGTGGTTCTTTATTTGATCATTCGATTTAACATTGTCCGTTGTTGCCACCTTTTTTGCTCAGAACTCAACAATATCACAGGCTGAATTTGTGCTGTCCCACAATCAGTTGTTATTGATGAATCCATAGAGTCTGCTTATATTAAGGGCACACTTGAAACTTGATTAGGGTCTTTAATATTGGGAATCGTTCATCACAGTTAGGAAAACCGCAGATATATTTATTTCGTTATGACATTTCAAAAAATTCTCAAGATTTTTGGGTTTCGCATCATATAATGAATAATCTGAACACCACTGTGAAACTATAGCAGTGGTTCTGACGTTCGTGTGCTCCGTTACCTCTTTTGATGATCTGGCAAGCCGCCGTTAGCTTCCCTCCCCCCCCCTTTTTTTTTAAACATGGAAATCGCCCATGTTATGTCCAGACAACTGTTACGTTCAATCTTATAGCACCTCCATGATGGTAATCGACTCTTACAATTAGACCGTTGGGTTCCTCAGCACTGCAATCGAATATGATTGCATGAAAGACTATCGTCTGTGACACGCTCATACACTTCAAACTGATTCAGATGAATTCTCATTCTTTTCGGACGTGTTGTATTCACTCTCATAGCTAATACATGTGAATACCGTTCTATTGATCAGTTTTTCTCATTCACTTCATCTTATTTAACTTCACTGTTCAAGTAAACTTCTCATTCTGTAGTATGTACTATTTACTGGATACGTTGACGAGTGTTGACAGCCGAAATCAACTATACTGCAATCGAATATTACTGCTCAACAACGTTCGACAGTTGACATGATCAATTATAGAGTGTATTTGATAGAATGAGAATTTGACATTAATCATTCAGTAAAATGAATGAGAAATTAGCAGAAGAGAACATTTTTGGTGATAAAAGCTATGAGAGCGATTGTAACAGCAAGGAAAAGAATGAAAACCCTGTTAAAAGAACTGAAAACCCTGTTAGGCTCGGACGAGCTGATAATACTCGGAAAATAGAAGAATGAACAGCGTTGCCATCGAATATGTGCATATACATATCCGAGTTAAAAAACACCATCACAGTGACTTTCTATCATAACATAACAACTGCACGAAATACTAGTACTAATTTCTCGACCCCCTCCATTACCCACTGACACTTCCAAATTATCCAGAATGGCTAATTTCACCCCTTTGAGAACCACTGATCTATAGAGTCCGCTTGTATTAAGTGTCGAGCTGTATGTGCTTGGTGCACACAGTTCTATCGTTCTACGCAAATGGATCATTTCAAATGCAAAGAGCTCATCAGATGATAATTAGAAATACAGAATGGAGTGCAACATTAATGTGCGAAACTTCGGGATAATGTGCATTAAATATCATCTAGTGTCCAACTTTTCTTGTTCTAATCGTTTGAAATATGTCGAACTTCGAAACGTTAAGCGTTTTTTTTTGAAATATAATGTATGAATAGATGCGTGTTTGCCGGCTGTCTTCCACAACAAACTTCGCATCCAACAGCCAGTTGTTGCCTTCATAATAAATCATGAAGTTGTTTTTGTTGATTTCGAAATATGGCGTCTACATAACGGAGTGAGACGCACGAACGAAGAGTCCTAACGATAAAGCATCATTCAACTTGTTCTCCGATGATTCCTATTTGTCCCTTGAGAAATGCATTTAAATTTTCATTCACACTTTATGGATGCAAGCAGCCAGTATGAGCTTTCATCACACTAAAGCCCACTGATAGCATTATTCCGGAAATCATCTCTTCCCTCTTGACTAGCCA